AAATTTTCAACAGCTCTTCGTGACCTTTATTGTGAAAGAGTGGTTTCTCAATTTTTTTTATAACTTTAAGACCTAGCAGTGCAGGTCATCTTCAGAGTCCTGAGCATTAAACATATTTATCTGCCATTTCAAGGGCTGATGGAAAGAAGGGTTATATGACTTGTAGAATATAGAGGATGGCCTAGCAAAAGTATTCATTCAAAGAGTTAACTAAATATCCAATCCCAGGAATGCAGGTTGAAGAAATAATCACCTTGTCACTCACAAAGAAGCAAGGTTATTCTGACTTGCATATTATTGCAGGCATATGGCAAAGGGTAGCTCTTGCATCTTAGTATTCATTAATAAACTATATTCCAATCTGTGACCCAAATGGAGTTCCCGACAACCAATTTACAACCCTCCAGACCTTAAAACTGCATTGCTGAAATTCAGTAGGAAAGAATTGATTTTCAATGGTGCAATATTTGCACTAAATTCCCTCCAAAAATGGAGGGGGGGGGGAGTAGAGGAAGGAACATTAGGCATCTGAGAGACAAACAGCATTATTTTCCAACCCAACTCCTCCCCTGACACACACATCATACAACCCATCATGGCTCCCAATCTTTTTCTTAATTCTGTCACTTTGCTGCTGAATTTTACTTACCATTTTAGACCAATTTAACAGGGTTTTAAACACTAGAAATGAGTGCAGTGTGGCTTCCAGGGGCTTCCTCTTCTCACTTCTAGCTTAAACTTCAGGAAAACCACGAAGAGCAGGCAAAAAATACTTCCTGTGAAGTATTAATATCGTTTTGGAGACATTATGAATAGCTCTCCAGCCCGCTGGTGTTGCAGGTCTGACTCAAGAAAATTGTCCTTCCCTACATTTGAGCATCAATAGCTCTCCTGGGAGATGATATTATTTTTTAGATCTATATCCCAGCTATCCTCTGTGGACTCAGGAGAACACACACGCACAGATGTTCCTTATTTCATCCTCCTATCAACAAATGGGGAAGTAGCTAGGTTGAGAGAGAGAACACTGGCCCAGTATCACTCGTTGAGCTCTAGAACTGTAAACCTACCCCCTCCATCCAGTTCTGTCCAATACATTAACCACAACACGATGCTGGCTATATTGTGAGCTGGACTTCTTTCAATTGATCCACTCACGTGAAGGAAACACCAGGAGGCTGCTTGCATGGGAGCCAACCATCTGGGCTTTACTACTGCGACCAAATCATAAGCCCAAGAAGATGAATAGCAAAGTATCCAATTATAGTAAATGATTACTGTAATCCTGAAGATATCCTAGACATCAGTAGCAATCTATTCAAAGCAAAAAGGGTGATGCCAATAGATAACACAAATAAGCAAAGATACCCCTTGCTAGCGGCTCCTATTGAGATCTATGTCTTCTTTATTATTATTATATTAGTTTCTTTACTATTTACAACCGCAGCAGAGGATCCCCTCTATAATAGTTCCTGGCATATTTTAAAAAGTGCATTCAATTTACAGGTAGTCCACAGTTTATGTGCATTTACTCAGCGCCCGTTTAAAGTTATAGCAGCACTGAAACAGTGGACATAGAAGAGGTGCTCAAAGTTCTGGCCATCATAGAACCTTGGTAGTCACGATCACAATCCAGTTTACAATTACAATGCTGCAGGGAGCTAGGGTTATGTGATCGCCATTTGTGACCTTCCCTGCTAGCATCCCACAAGCAAATCCCACAAGATTAGAAGGGAAGGTCACAAGTCACTCCAGTAAGCTGGTCTTGCTTTTTCTCCCACCTACCCCACCTGCCCATGCTTCCACTGGTCCTCCTGGGTCCTCCCCCAGTCTCCACCCCCCATGGCACCCCATGCTATTTATCTAGGACTTCCATCTCGTCATACTTAATGATCTACATGTCTTGGGGTTACAACAGCAACCAAAGCTGCCCAGAATTGCCATCGCCAAGTGATGCAGTCATGTGACATTGTCCTTTACAATCACACTGCTTCGCTATGCAATCCCAGTCCCAATTGCCATCCTAACCCAAAGACTATCTGTATTTTTCAGTAGCGTGTCTTTTCATTTATAGATCTTTCATATTACAGAAGACATTAAATTTCATTAAAGACCAGTCCCTCTGGTCAATTTGAAATTTTGAAAACATTCTAGGAATACCCATAAAATATCACCAGATATACCTGGTGAGATAACTCCCTTACATCCTTTAGCCTTCCAGAATGCCTTGCAAATCTCATCTTCATTTTTTTTGTAGATGAAATGTCACATTTGCAAACAAAAGTACAATTGCACACCATTTTTATTCTCTAAGATGTTTTCTAGAATTTTTATGAGATCCAATTTTCTTGAGATTAAAAAGGAAATCTTACGAAGTCCTTAATCCAATTATATCCTGTACCTGTTAAGACTAAACTGCAAGTCTCAGGGTTAGCCCCTACTCCAACTAAACAGTATAGACTTGGTTTGGAGATTCTTTTTTCTGACTTTTAAACATATTTTTAATAAATAATTGTATACAGCTGCCCATTTCACATATATTACACTAGGTGGCTTATAAACAGTTAAAAAGTATCTTACCTGATGAGTCTAATTCAAGAAATATGAACATCATAGTAGTAAAATATAAATGATCTTAAGATAAACCAGAAGCTTGAATAATAAAATGTGCTTGAATTATGATTACAATTGTGATTGGAATTTTGGTCTTAAGTCAAGGCACATGACCAGACTCGATTCTTATGACTGTTTTTATGATTGTTATAAAATGAGTCACCGTGGTTAAGCAAATCACATGGTTGTTAAGCAAAACTATTTTTTTCTTTTATTCTCATTTAAATGTAAATTAAATCATTTCCAATTTTGTCCTGGCCTCATTAACCTCTTGTGTTTCTAACTACTCAAAAGCCTATATGCCCATGGATTTTTAAAAAATTACACACACCAAATTTATGCAATTTAGGTCATTATGCTGACTTTTTGAAGTAGAGAGGAGAGTATCAAACTATTGATTGTTGGCCTAGAATTGCTTTCACAGATCAAAGTAAATAAGTAAACAAAGTTATAAAGACTACAGAAGCAATTCAGTCAAAATGCATCAGAATGTTTTATGTTCATTTGATCCAGGCAAACACATTTCTTTGGCTGGAAGTGGGGCTGTGACACTATAGAAAATTTGAATATTACCCCAAAATTAAATTTTCTGGGTTGGGTCTTTGGTTCAACCAATCCTTTCTGCCAATTCTTAGAAGAAAATGTATCCTTGGATTATTTTTTTTTAACTCCAGTTTCTCAGCTCATTCACTGCTTATGCTTGGATCAGAGAAAACCAAGCTTGAGGTCAAACAGAGGATTCTTGATATGTATCTGCATACTCAAAATTTCAACCCATTGTTATGGGAGCCTTTGCAGCAGATTTTTATCGAGACATAATTGGAACTCTTACAATCTCTCTGTTCTGCATAGGAAGGCACTAGCACTAGCAAGCACTATGTTTTACTCCTGCATGTTTGGAAAGGGATATTATTAAAAGGGATGTTACTCAGAACATTTCTGGCCTGCTTGAATGTAGCTATCAGGACAATTTTGTAAGTGTTGCTGAGCTACCCTTTACACCATACTTGGCACTATGAATTAATTCTCTTTCTCCTCATTAAGGGAATAGGCTAGCTCAGGGGTAGGCAACCTTGGCTCTTTTATGACTCGTGGACTTCAACTCCCTTAATTCCTGAGCCAGCCATGGAGAGGGAGAGGGAGAGGTTTCCAAGCTGAGCCATGCTGGCTCAGGAATTCTGGGAGTTGAAGTCCACGAATCATAAAAGAGCCAAGGTTGCCTACTCCTGGGCTAGCCTAAAATGCACATCTTACAAATGGATCCACCAACCAATATCTCTGTGAACATTGTTTCACTTTGATCAATTGCAATTGCTATTAGAATATACTGGGTAATTAATTATAACTGTTGTAGAAGGCCACCAACATTTAACGATTAACATTAACTTTTCTCCCTCTAACATGCTAACTCTCCATTGCATTTACTGGATTGTGTTGGTTTTTCCTTTTCTTTTTTGGTCTTTGACCACAAACTGTAATGACTAGATTAAGACTGCCTCTGAAAAGTGCTACAAGGAAACAGCAGTCTTTCCATTTAAATGCAGCATCTAAAATGCAGAAAGTATGCTGATATTTTAAATGTGGACAAAACCAGGAGTGGTGCATCCCTTTTCTATCTTCTTTGTTAATTATAAATGTGCCTGACTTGGCCCCCTTGGAATATGAAAATGAATGACAACATAAGGAAACCATGGAATCCATGGTTAACTGTAGGAAGCTGACACTCTTAGTATGGAAATTTGACATTTTGTAATGATAGCATCCATTCCTACTTATGCAATCTCAGCTAGATTACCAGTCTGCTTTAAAATTAAATATTTATCTTATCGATATTTACTAAAAATAGTCCACTGATTAGATCAGGTATTGTATTTTGGGACTTGCCAAGGGCTTTACACAATTAGTCATCCTTCTACTAATGCAAACAAGGCAGCAGCCAGAAATCTATCCCCCTGAATATATGAAGGAAGGATTTGTGATGTCAAGTGTCACCCTAGTCTATCATATTCATAATATAGAAATGCAGACTGATCCTATATAGGGCACACAAACCCAAAATACATCTTCACTGTTGAGAGAATATAGCTGTATGTTAATTAAAGGACTATGGATTTTTGACAGCATCACAAAGAACCCCAGAATTCCCTGGGGTGATTTAAATATGTCAAGATAGAAACATTTTTTGTATATATAGACATACAATCCATATAGAATGATATGGGTTGTATATGTTTACAGAAATATATCTATTTATCAGGAAGTAAATCTCATTGAATCCTTAATATATAATGATTGTGGACAAGAGGAAATTAACTTTCAAAAGATTCCTCTTGCTTCCTAATATATGTGTGTGTGTGTGTGTGTGTGTGTGTGTGTGTTTGACGTACCTCATAGGGGCAAAGGAGATGAACTGGATTGCTGCTTCAAGCTGTGGGGCAGAAGACAGAGGGACACCAGAATTTCACATCCTGCAGGCATTACAAATTCATTCCCTGAAACAAGATGGTATGGTAGGTGAGTATATCTGAATCAATTATCAGTCTCTCCCATTTTTACATGCATGCCAAAGGAAACTATCTTCAAAGAAGGAAAGATATAGACCCCCCCAAAAAAACCTCGACACCATTTCCCCCAGAGATTGCCCACCTTTGAGCCACAGAAGCTCTTCTGAAAGAAACTCCTGAAAGACACCAGGCTCAGTCCCCCAATATGCTTTCTCATAGGTGGCTCCCATTCATTTCAGCAGACCCTATGGCTGCACAAACTCTTAAAAAACGAAGGTTCGAAGGTCAATACCCACAACTGTAAAGAAGTACTGTTAATCCGGATGGGCTTTATTGGTGTCAATTTGCACTTTAAAACGCCTTTGCTATTTGCCCGACTCTTAAAGACGAGTTTATGGAAAACTTCCATTGGATCCCTCCACAAACACCAGATTAATCATTCACAACAGCAGAGTGAATTTTATAGCATGCTCCAAGAGTCCGCCTAAGTTAAGACGAGTGTTGCCAGATGGGGGCCTCACTCGTCCACCTAGAAATTCCAAGATGCACCTTGTCAGGTCGCTTTTATTCGGCGGCGTTCATCGCGTCCCTTTCTTTCAACATTCAAACAATCCATCCAAGCAGGGAGGGAGAAAAAAAGGGAAGGGGGGAAATAAAAGTATCAGAAAGCTTCTCCCCAAACTATTTCACAGTAACCAGATGAAGAAAGCAGCCTTTAACACAGGGTGCCAGGGCGAGCCACTTGCGAAACGCCAGCTGTTTCGCTTCCAAGGCCATTCGTTCAAATGCACTATTTTTAATTACTCTAGCTTCTATTAATCGTCCTAAGATCTTAGCCCGTTCCTGTTATGGTCATCGATTTTAGACTTTTTTGTATTTTTCGCGCGTTCACCTACCCGCCGACCCACCAGGAACACGGAAGATCGAGCTATGCTAACCCGGATACAGGATTACTGCTTTGGATACGTTATCTAAGTATAAATTTGCGGTTCTTCTATGGCTCATTCTGAAACCAAAACTCGAAACCAAAACTAAGAAATGACCGGCTCAGCCCACTTTGAAACAAGTATACTAGAGATTAAATTTTCCTCGTCTCCCATTTAATACCTGCAAATTTCAGGATGCTTAAAGAGCACTTCAAGGTCTCCGTTTTTTTCTTTTGCCTCCCACAGAGCAGCGTTTGGCGCCTTTAACTGAAAGTTGTACGTAGAGCGAGCGGCTGCTGCAATAGCTAAAAATGATGCATTCCGCCCTAGCAAACCAACTCCTCTTGGATCATCCTTGCTCTTCTCTCAGCTCCGATCTCGTTACAGAACTTGTGAAGAAGACTTCTTTCCTCGCGGACGCTCCTGCAGGGGTGTGAGCTGCGCGCTAGCCAATGGGCGCGCTTCAAATGTTGCCTGCCAACCAATGGCGAAGGAGCTTTCCCGTGGAAGAGCAGCGAGCTAGCACGTGAACGCCAAGCTGGCTATGTGGGAGTGACCGCGGTTCGAACCTTTTCTGAGTTGCGGGGAGACTCGGAGTGGGGCTGCGGCCACCCCTGACGGAGAAGACCGGCGTGCGGAGTTCCTGCCCCCCCCCCATCCTTCCCATACAACGATAGGGGAACTGAAAGAGTTGCTGTGTACAATAAAACTTTCGCAGGCCTCCTGGGATTGGTAAATTGGTAAACGCCTTCGATTTAATACTGTGAACATAATGCAGTGCATGAGACTTCGGAGTTTCCAACATGTTTCAAAAATGGCAATTTAAATTCGAGAGTTTTATGGAAACCGGACACTTTGGTGTAGTAGTTCAGGCACCAGACTAGAAACCAGAAAGCTGTGATTTATAGTCCTCACTTTTGCACAAAGCCAACTTGATGATTTTGGGCTAGTAGGTCCTCCCTCTCAGCCCTAGGAAGCAAGCAAATTTTTGCTTCTAAGAAAAATGCAAGGACTTGTACAGGCACTCATGAGTTAAAAAAAAACGGAGAAAAGAAAGGATTATGTATTATATGTATATTTTAATATAGGTTTGCTGTATAAATTAATTGCTTAACCCTCTTGTTCTTTAAATTGCAACAATCCTTTGGGTGTAAGTACCAGGCCCAGATTAACCTGGTGAATTTAATGGCTGAGCTAGGATTTGAATCTAGATCTGCTTCAGTTTGGGTGAGTTTAATTTACTCCAGGCTTCCAGCAATTGCTACTGGATTCATAAGACTTTGAGTAGCATCTCCATGAAGGCTTTTTCTCTCTTAGGGATATTTCACATGTGGATTTTTTTAAAGTTGATGCTTCTCGTGTGTGAATGGCTGATCCAGATAGAATATCTCAGATACAAACAACTGTTCCTTTAAAATGTTTTCCTTTTTACTAAAAAATAACTATTACTAGCAGATAGTGTGTACGGAAATCAAAGGATGAACTACAGACATTTATTATTTGAGTTCAAGTTCATGTTGTGCCATGAAGTTTGTTTGGTTAACCTTGAGCAAATTACTGTCACTCTAAGCCACTGAATGGAATTGTGATGAAATATTAAATTGACTTTCAATATCAACTTTCTCTATTACAGTGTTTTAATTAAAGTTTTAATTAAATGTTTCTATTCATAGCAGCTGATGGTTCATCTTATGACCTATTTGTTAAGCTGGAGAGGGTTGACTATCTTGAAGTGCATGCATTCAAGTATCCTATGTCTGTACATACTGCCAGTCATACTTGCATACACCATGTCATTCATTGTGCAGAATAGTAAAGAGCAGATCCGCACCCTAAGGAGCTTGCAGTTACATTGTTTGATCTGAAATATGAAATATGAATAACTATATGATCATGATTGACAAACATTTTCAATAAAGAATGGCATGCATTTGGAAACAGATTAAAGAACTGATCTAGGCCTGGAATAAAAAAAAATAATTCAAGGTAACTTCATCAGTTTCCAAGTAGTTTATCAAACTTTCTATTTGGTCACTGGGGACACGGTCTGATATGATTTGATCTTGATCAATTAACTTTCCTGGGCTTTCTGATGTCCTTTTGCAGTAGGATTGATGTATATTGTTGACAGTATGCAGTGCCTTTTGGACAATAAAAGTTAGATCAGCACTTTCAGAAAATTGGTGCAATCACTATTTTACTCAAAAATTATGCTGCATGCATGGTCTGGATGGGTTTTTTGGGAGGGGGTGGAGGGGTTCAATGAAAAGTTTTTGGGTTTCAACAGTTGCATAAACAATTGTCGTTTTTTGCTCCTGTTGCACACTATAGAGAAAGATAAAGGTGCTATATTTCTTCTGATTTCAATTAAGGTTGGTACTTATTTTCATGGGAGGTCCTTAATAAGCATCTTTTAAGATACAGTATTGATCTTTTCAGTGTAAGAGGATGGACAGGAAATAATTAGTATGATGTAATAGCTTAGAATAGTTTTTGTGTTAGAAAGCTATCCATTGATTAGATAATGGTAGGCTTTCTCAATTTCATCCTGCATAAAAAGAATTATAATACAATTTATCTTAGCAGGTTACTATAAAAAATACTGAAAATAATACATACAAATATTGAACTATACAAATATGTGTGATTTATATTGAACTTTCTGCTATATTTATCCTGTATGAATATGTATCCTTCAAGTATTTATTGCCTTTCTATTCATTGGGCACATTCTAATTGCTTAGGAAAGCTGGCAGAGAAAAATGGCAATTCTGTGGATTAGCATAGTTTTCCACTAACAGTTATTACTTAGTAGTTGTTAACCCATTTCTATTTTCCTTTCATCCATTTTTTCCCTTTTAATGGGAAGGAGTTAGAAGACTCAGAACTGCAGATGAATTTCATCCCATGCCCTTTATACCTTTCAAACACAATAAACATAAATCACAATTTCAAAAAACACCACCTGTACCAATCTGCTTTGTACTTGTCCCTAGTTTATTGGTCAGAGAAAAAGGAATTTCTCCTGCCTCTGATGAAAAGTATTAATTCTTGGGCAGTAATGAAGATACCCAAAAAAAATTGTCCTTTTTCTCTGATAGGAAGTGTCAGAGCAGTAATTTATCAACTATAAATTCTACATCTGTTAAAGCTTATTTATTTAATGTAAATATAATATTACAGTAAAGGAATTCAGCAAGAGGTATGTAATACAGAATGTTTTTTAAGAGTGTGTTTGATTATGTGTTATCAAGTCATCTTCCTAATGACTAGGTACCTAGATTTAAGAGTGGGTTAGGCTTCAAAAGTTCAAACCACGTATGAAACATCTGCACGTGCTTACAATTGCCACTGTGTTTAAAAGAATTAACAATAGATGATTCCAACTATTCTGTCAAACTAAAGGTATAGTGTGAGATACTGTTCACATGTATTCAGTATTTAATGGACATGTTGTCTCCTGCTGCTTACTGCATTGGTCTTTCTAAAACCAGGAGGCAATTAAAATTCATTCACTCTGGCCATGCTCAAAAAAATTTCATCACCACTAGTCAGTTTAGATCAGGGGTGTCAAACTCACAATGTCAGGTGACGTGTTGCGACATATTGTGATTTTTTTCCATTGCCTGCAATGGGGTGGGCGCGGTTTGACACCCCTGGTTTATATGGATGTAAAATTTAAAGTGTTTTTGAGATGTGGGGATATTAATAAAAAGTTGAACCTTAATGTCCTAGCATAGTTTTCCTCTTTTAGTTTTGTTTTTTTTCTGAAATCTCAACCCATTAGGTATATATACCGTCATTTTTGGGCCTAACTCTAAATCTCTACAAAAAGCTTTTGAAATTGCTTCATCATGAACAAGCATCAGCTTTTTGCAAACTGACAGCTATTTAAAGAGTGGCCAGATTAAACAAGTACAAGTTACATCTTAGTCAACTGAATGTGACCAAAGAATAAATGTATGTTGTTTAGTGTTTTTCTTCTCAAGGTCTGGCCTAAATTGGAATCTTCATGGAGGCCGAGGAGTTAATTTTAAAACAAATCTTGCATAATATGAGAATGGCTTTTAAACATACTTTATTTGTTTCAGGTAATGACTTGGCTTGCTTTCCAAAAAGGCTTTATTGGCCAAGTGGAGTTGCAATAATCAAACCCTGGGTCTTCAATAGATAAGCATAGGAAACAGTATTCAGCTTCTGGAAGCTGCTGGTAAAAAGACTGGTGAAATTGGATAGCAGCAGATAGCAAATTTTGAAATAGTTACTTCCCAAAAACAAAATCCATCCATGCAATGAACACCAAGCCATCAAGGCTTTAACAGTTCAAACCAAGTATACTTTATTTGTTTTATTTAATTTTTTTGTATGTTATTTAAAGTAAGTTTTCTCAAGGCAGATTAAAAAACCCTTTAACATGTTTTTAAAATTTAAATTACCGTATGTCTTATTTTGTTAAGAACTTCTTAACTAAATGAACATAATGAATGGAAATAAAATTACTGACATAAAAATTAATGCTAAAATATTAAATAGCTGGAGAGAATAAAAACTTGATTGATGCTGGAAAGACCCTGGAGTAGGTGGAGGTGTTCCAAAGCTGGAGGACTACAGCTACAAAGATAGGTTCAATGGGAGTAATCACTGTAGCTCAGCATGGGGGGGTGGGGGTGGCTAAGCATCAAAGCTCAGAAGAAGCTGTTAGATTCCATTAGAGATTTGGCGTGGATGTTTTAATGAGTCATAGACAGGTGTTTATTTACTTTCCCAAGCTTGCTGAAGCAAATCTGAAGCATTATAAAAATGAGTTCCTTCAGTTTCTGTAATCCCAAGTATCAAACTCTTGATATAGTAAATCAAGGTTCTTAGTACTTGTTGAAAGTAACAAGAAATTAGATTATAGCAATTCTGACAACTAGATGCTTGCTCTTTTGCATCCAATTTATCTCTGAATTGCTAGGATAGTAGTCTAATTGGCCACTTTGGTTTTAGAGGAATTAGCCATCTATTTCCATGATACTGGAATAATTTGTGGCTATTTGGATTTTGCTTTGTTTTCCAAATTGCTTTCATGTTCAAGTACTGAGAATAACATAATACCAAAATATGAAGAATTTAATAGTTTACATAACTGGGGGCACATTATTTAAAAAAACAATCTTTGATTAAGAGATTTTACATAAATAATAAATACATCCTAAGTAAAGTATATAGTAAAGTAAGTGTGAAAAAGAACAACAACAACAACAAAAAAAACCTGGACACAAAATTTTGGTGAACCAGTTTTATTAGATACTTGGGAAACTATTTGGGTGAGAAATGTTAAATTTACACAAGCCCAGAATTTAAGGGAGAATTTTTATAAAATGTTTTACAGATGGCACCTTGATCCACAAAAAATGTCTCGTATGTATGCTGACTTACAGCCTAAATGTTGGAGATGTGGATGTTTGGATGCTACTTATTATCATATTTGGTGGTCGTGTAAAAATATAAAAGCCTTTTGGATAAAGATATGGTGGAATATTC